TTAGTGTGCGCTCTACCGCTAGACCACAAAGTCCCTAAGACCGATTTATAAAACTGGATTAAAACAATTTGTCAAATGTTGTTTTAGTAAGTTGTGGGTTTTGTCAACAACGCCGTTGTTCTTGCAATAGACACTGTAGTTATGTCAACAACACCATTTCTCTTGTAAAAGACACTGTAGTGAGGCCATAGTGTACAACCTCGCAAAAATAAATTTAGAAAAAAAAACCTACAATCAGAAATAGAACCCTGGAAAAGTTCCAGACAGATAGCGACTAAAAGTTCCCCAACACGATGACAAAAATAGTTCGTGACCTAAAACCTACACGGATTTTCCGCCCATTTGGGGCCGAACTCGGTTGCGTACGCTGGGACGGACCCTTGATGCGGGACCCTTGATACGGGACCCTTGATGCGGGGCCCTTGACTGGGGAATTCCAGCTGCTGCCTTGTTTGGCTAGAACTCTGCTGTGTGCTCTTGTGTCTAGAGCCTGTAAATTTCCCTCGCCCGATCCTCCATCTCTGCTAGAAGTGTCGCCCAGATTATAGACCAATGAAAACTGGCCGCCACGTCATATCCGACTTAGTCGTAAATTTAAAAATAGAATCTGTGTCGACGAACGCGAGATATTTTGATCAAAGTGAGCCGAGGTCTGTCTGATGTGGTCTGTCTGTTGTGGTCTGTCTGATGTGGTCTGTCTGATGTGGTCTGTCTGTTGTGGTTTGTCTGTTGTGGTCTGTCTGTTGAAGTCAAGCTTGTGATCAGGTCATCTGAGGTCTATCTCCTGTGATCATCTCAGTCATCAGGTCAATACAATTAGCTTGTAATGAGTGTATTGTCTTTACAGATATTGAAACCTCGCAATTGTTGAGTACAATGTTAAATGTGCTCAGTAGACGTTTATTTTTAGTCAATGTATGATGACGTGTACAAATATCGTAGCTAGACCAGACGTCACTAAAGTTTAATGATTTAATGACGTGTACAAATATCGTAGCTAGACCAGACGTCACTAAAGTTTAATGATTTAATGACGTGTACAAATATCGTAGCTAGACCAGACGTCACTAAAGTTTAATGATTTAATGACGTGTACAAATATCGTAGCTAGACCAGACGTCACTAAAGTTTAATGATTTAATGACGTGTACAAATATCGTAGCTAGACCAGACGTCACTAAAGTTTAATGATTTAATGACGTGTACAAATATCGTAGCTAGACTAGACGTCACTAAAGTTTAATGATTTAATGACGTGTACAAATATCGTAGCTAGACCAGACGTCACTAAAGTTTAATGATTTAATGACGTGTACAAATATCGTAGCTAGACCAGACGTCACTAAAGTTTAATGATTTAATGACGTGTACAAATATCGTAGCTAGACCAGACGTCACAAAAGTTTAATGATTTAATGACGTGTACAAATATCGTAGCTAGACTAGACGTCACTAAAGTTTAATGATTTAATGACGTGTACAAATATCGTAGCTGTGCCAGACGTCACTTGACATGTTGTTGCCAACAAAACATGACGTTGGCCAGTTAAATTTTTAAAAATATAACTATGGCTGTAGATCGAATTTTGTGTTAAATTTTATAGAACTCTATTTTTAGATTAAGTTTTAAACCAGGCGTGTGAGAAGTAGGCATAGATCTAGAACTTACAAGTCGCTGTTTGTGGTGTTGGTATTTATCAAAGTAAGACATCAGCCTTCTATGCACATGTGACGTCACAGGAGGGAGGGGGATCTCTATGTAAAATCCTACTAACATACAAACAATCCAACCAGCACACAAACAATCCCACTAGCACACAATCCCACTAGCATACAATCCCACCAGCACACAAACAATCCCACTAGCACACAATCCCACCATCACACAAACAATCCCACTAGCACACAATCCCACCATCACACAAACAATCCCACTAGCACACAATCCCACCATCACACAAACAATCCCACTAGCACACAATCCCACCATCACACAAACAATCCCACCAAATAGTCCCTCTGGACATGGGTATCAGAAAATGAAATCAGAAATGGAATAACTCATTAACTGATCTCACCAAATTTTCAAATAAAGATAAGATCATCATGTTGAGATTTGCCGTCTCAGATCCTGGACTAGAACAAGTGGGGCGTCTCTGAGTCCACCCAGCTATAATGGGTACCTGGAAAGACGGTTTAACATGGAACTGATCCGAGATATGCCGAGGCCGCAGAAATAGGTTAATCTCAACTTCAGCTGACGCATTTAGCGTACAAACAAAACGTGATTATCATCAACATACAAAGTTAGCATGCCCATTCGATCAAGATGATATGCGCTTTAAATAAAATAATTTTATAATTTTCATTATGGTGTCACCCCGCCTACACCCGTGAATAGTGTCGCCTACATTTGACGGAGTATCTTTTACTCCTACGCCGTCTTCCCAATGACGTCATCAGAAGCGACACGAACAAGCCTCAATAGTTGTAATCGCCACGATGTCTACAAACATGTGCACAAACACAACAAACACGACAAAGACAAACCTTCAATACACGAACACAAAAACCTTGCAAACACCAACTTTACAAACACAAACTTTACAAACACAAACTTTACAAACACAAACTGTACAAACACCAACTTTACAAACACAAACTTTACAAACACAAACTTTACAAACACAAACTTTACAAACACAAACTTTACAAACACAAACTTTACAAACACAAACTTTACAAACACAAACTTTACAAACACAAACTTTACAAACTCAACAAACACCATCTGACACCACTAGTACGTCATACCATGTTGTTTGAAGTAATTCCGACAATTAAACTTTCCTTAATTAGTCTGATTGATTACCCACTTAAGCACCAAATCTCCCCACCTCCAACTGTTTGGTCCATGTTTAACCAATCCATTGATTTCATAAACAATTTAATCACGAGCTCTATTTGGTTGGGTAAAAATATTTGACGCAGGCAAGTTTGTTGAAAATAACAAGTTACTAAGTCTTGGGTGTAGTGTTGGTTCTTGCTAGCTTTGAGATTATCGTTGGTCACTAACGGGCCTCAGTTGTTACCTTATGGCCGGCCCACTTACCTTATAAGCCAGCAATGTTACGGAAAAGTCGGGTTACCTTGTGGGCCGGCCCACTTACCTTATAAGCCAGCAATGTTACGGAAAAGTCGGGTTACCTTATGGGCCGGCCCACTTACCTTATAAGCCAGCAATGTTACGGAAAAGTCGGGTTACCTTATGGGCCGGCCCACTTACCTTATAAGCCAGCAATGTTACGGAAAAGTCGGGTTACCTTATGGGCCGGCCCACTTACCTTATAAGCCAGCAATGTTACGGAAAAGTCGGGTTACCTTATGGGCCGGCCCACTTACCTTATAAGCCATCAATGTTACCTCACACAAGTCTGGTTACCTTATGGGCCAGCCTGTTAATGTGCCATCCTGCTTACCTATAGAAAAGCCCACTTACCTTATGGGCCAGTCAGGTTACCTTATAGACTGGGCCAACACAAGAGCCGCTGGCCCTAGGTTAGACTGGGCCAACACAAGAGCCACTTGCCCTAGGTTACCTTATAGACTGGGCCAACACAAGAGCCGTGGCCCTAGGTTACCTTATAGACTGGGCCAACACGAGAGCCACTGGCCCCAGGTTAGACTGGGCCAACACGAGAGCCACTGGCCCCAGGTTAGACTGGGCCAACACGAGAGCCACTGGCCCTAGGTTACCTTATAGACTGGGCCAACACTAGAGCCGTGGCCCTAGGTTACCTTATAGACTGGGCCAACACGAGAGCCACTGGCCCCAGGTTAGACTGGGCCAACACGAGAGCCACTGGCCCTAGGTTACCTTATAGACTGGGCCAACACTAGAGCCGTGGCCCTAGGTTACCTTATAGACTGGGCCAACACGAGAGCCACTGGCCCCAGGTTAGACTGGGCCAACACGAGAGCCACTGGCCCTAGGTTACCTTATAGACTGGGCCAACACTAGAGCCGTGGCCCTAGGTTACCTTATAGACTGGGCCAACACGAGAGCCACTAGCCCTAGGTTAGACTGGGCCAACACGAGAGCCACTGGCCCTAGGTTACCTTATAGACTGGGCCAACACTAGAGCCGTGGCCCTAGGTTACCTTATAGACTGGGCCAACACTAGAGCCACTGGCCCTAGGTTAGACTGGGCCAACACAAGAGCCACTGGCCCTAGGTTACCTTATAGACTGGGCCAACACTAGAGCCACTGGGCCTAGGTTACCTTATAGACTGGGCCAACACAAGAGCCGCTGGCCCTAGGTTAGACTGGGCCAACACAAGAGCCACTGGCCCTAGGTTACCTTATAGACTGGGCCAACACAAGAGCCACTGGCCCCAGGTTAGACTGGACCAACACAAGAGCCACTGGCCCTAGGTTACCTTATAGACTGGGCCAACACGAGAGCCACTGGCCCCAGGTTAGACTGGACCAACACAAGAGCCGTGGCCCTTGCGCCATCCCAACCCACGAACGCGTCAGGGCTCCATGAACAGATGGACCTCAAGGCGTGACGTCATCGGGCCGTGGAGATAACTCGTTTGACGCCACGGCACACGGAGATAACCGTGTTAACAAATTGCCGCCCTTGCCGTTTTCACTTTCATCGTCCCGCTAAGTATTGACTGTTTCCTCATTGTTTCCACACACGCTAGGGAAAAAAAATTCGTAAATCGCCCCCCCCCCCCCCCCTCCCCTTGTTTCCCAGTTCGCTAGCGGCACCTCATGTTGTCGCCTATTTAACATCAAGAAATAACCGTCCGCTCCTTATTTGCGATTAACAAGGCCCACAACTTCCACTTGTAGCTACCCACACAGTCGCCTCACAAGCTCCCCCACCCCCCATCGCTCAGCTCCCCCACCCCCTCCGTTGAGTGAACCCACCCCCAACCCCGATGTTATGAAATTAGTTTTGCCGCCTTATAAAAACCCTGGCAAGTCTCGCTGAGATCGAGAGTAGAACGACGTCACACTTAGGACAACTTGGACGTTTTTTAGAGCGAAACAAAACCATCGCCAGTTACCAAATCTCTCCCGTCATACAGCGCGGCGGTTCGTCAACTACAAGAACAAAAATCGACTCCTCAAAATTTTGGTCATTATTCGCTGTGAAATCTGTCGGAAGAGTGAAAAGTGCTGAGCTGTGCTAAGGTTGTGGTCAACTTGTGGTCAACTTGTGAGACCAGACACAGGATACATTTCTCGTTGTAAAGGTGAGTGTAGGACGTTATTCTTTGCTTGTGGATTTTGGTATGGTGCTGTTTAGCACATTTGTATTTTGTTGTGGTGCTGTTTAGCACATTTGTATTTTAGTTTGGTGGTGTTTAGCACATTTGTATTTTGGAGTGGTGCTGTTTAGCACATTTGTATTTTGGTAAGGTGCTGTTTAGCACATTTGTATTTTGGTAAGGTGCTGTTTAGCACATTTGTATTTTGGTATGGCGCTGTTTAGCACATTTGTATTTTGGTGTGGTGCTGTTTAGCACATTTGTATTTATGTATGGTGCTGTTTAGCACATTTGTATTTTAGTTTGGTGGTGTTAAGCACATTTGTTTAGCACATTGATGGTATCAGCCAATTGTTTGAGCAGTATTGGTGGATCTAGATAATGTATAGATCTTTGTAACTGTAGAAGGTGATAGGCAAACTTAGTATAATTTTGTTTTACTGCATTAATTTAACATTGAATATTGAACAGTGTATTCTTCATTTAGTATTTGGTGTCTTCCTACTTCTGAATATGTATATATATATATATATATATATATATATATATATATATATATATATATATATATATATATATATATATATATATATATATATATATATTATATAGGGGCAGGGGGAGATAGTGTGGACTCAGAGGAGAAAGTGTTAATTAGGCCTAATTGTCAATTTGAATGTTAAAAATTAAGTTAACATTTGGATACGCTTTGCATTCGGCTGAACTAAGTTTTGAACTCGGGCCAAGGCCATGTTCCCTTAGTACGTTGACTGATGATTTGAAACTGACAGACAGAATCATCAGACAGATTTCATCGCTCTGTCTTGTTGAAGACTTGACCTTTGTTTGAAATGACCAGCAGAGTTTCAGATCAACAATCTCCTCAATGTCACTCAAGTATATGTCTGATACAAGCTTAGGTTGTGTACACGTACCACTCTCTTCAGTCAGGGTTTAATTACAGCTTTGTTGGCGTGTCTTGTTGGTGTTTAACTACAGCTTTGTTGCCGTGTTGGTGTTTAACTACAGCTTTGTTGGCGTGTCCTGTTGGTGTTTAACTACAGCTTTGTTGGTGTGTTCTGTTGGTGTTTAACTACAGCTTTGTTGGCGTGTTCTGTTGGTGTTTAACTACAGCTTTGTTGGCGTGTCTTGTTGGTGTTTAACTACAGCTTTGTTGGCGTGTTCTGTTGGTGTTTAACCTCAGCTTTGTTGGCGTGTCCTGTTGGTGTCTGATATAATTAGTCCTTACATTATATAGTCGGTCCTTACATTATATAATTGGTCCTTACATTCAGCTGTATTATGTACTAACGTAAAACACACTTAAGTTTTATTGTTAAGATTTGCTCGAGTTCTTGGTAGAGTTGCTGTGTAAATATTAGAGTTGCTAGAGTTATTGGTAGAGTTACAATGTCACGTATTTCTGTTTCTGTTTAGTTTTGTTGCTTGTACAATATAAAGTTACTGTCCTAATCAAATCATAGAAGAATCGGACCCCAATCGTCCATTAAACTAATAGCTGGGGACTCCGTAAGATATCACACTACAAATGGGATTACACTGAACATTGCCGGCAGATTTTCTTTCACGTCATTAATAAAACCAATCTTTCGTGTACACAAAAACACGTATTATACACAAGTGTATAATTTGTGTACACAAGTACACGAATTATGCACATGTGGATTCACACATTATAGAACTAACTAACATTCTCAGAGAAAACCACTCAACCACAGGGTCACACATGCACACATAGAGTCACACATTCACACATAGAGTAACACATTCATACATGGAGTCACACATTCACACATAGAGTCACACATTCACACATTGAGTCACACATTCCCACATAGAGTCACACATTCACACATAGAGTCACACATTCACACATAGAGTCACACATTCACACATAGAGTCACACATTCACACATAGAGTCACACATACACTCACACATAGAGTCACACATACACTCACACATAGAGTCACACATACACTCACACATAGAGTCACACATTCACACATAGAGTCACACATTCACACATAGAGTCACACATTTACACATAGAGTCACACATTCACATATAGAGTCACACATTCACACATAGAGTCACACATTCAAACAAGGAGTCACACATTCCCACATAGAGTCACACATTCACACATAGAGTCACACATTCACACATAAAGTCACACATTCACACATAGAGTCACACATTCACACATAGAGTCACACATAGAGTCACACATATAGTCACACATAGAGTCACACATAGAGTCACACATTGACACCTAGAGTCACGCATTCACACATAGAGTCACACATTCACACATAGAGTCACACATTCACACATAGAGTCACACATTCACACATAGAGTCACACATTCACACATAGAGTCACACATAGAGTCACACTTTCACACATAGAGTCACACTTTCACACATAGAGTCACACATTCACAAATAGAGTCACACATTCACACATAGAGTCACACATTCACACATAGAGTCACACATAGAGTCACACTTTCACACATAGAGTCACACTTTCACACATAGAGTCACACATTCACAAATAGAGTCACACATTCACACATAGAGTCACACATTCACACATAGAGTCACACATTCACACATAGAGTCACACATTCACACATAGAGTCACACACAGAGTCACACATTCACACATAGAGTCACACATAGAGTCACACATTCACACATAGAGTCACACATTCACACATAGAGTCACACACAGAGTCACACATTCACACATAGAGTCACACATTCACACATAGAGTCACACATTCACACATAGAGTCACATTTCCCTAAGTCAACCTGTGGGAATACAAAAATCCCAGCATCCCTTCCCAGCTCAGCCTGAAGATTGTACGAGTGTAAGGGGAGCTAACTTTGATAGTGTTCCTGATGGCGGGGCTTTCTTTCTTCATTGCCTATCTCGGAAAATTGAACTTCCGGTCACTTAATACAACTGATATCAAGTCGGACATTTTTACAGGCTCGTATGACCCGTACCACGTGACTGGGCATACAGGCAGCGTCAGACGAGCTTTAGGGAGTTTGACATGTATGACAGATGGACATGTCTGTCTGACAGATGGACATGTGTGTTTGACAGACATGTCTGACAGATGGACATGTGTGTCTGACAGATGGACATGTGTGTCTGACAGACATGTCTGACAGATGGACATGTGTGTCTGACAGATGGACATGTGTGTCTGACAGATGGACATGTGTGTCTGACAGATGGACATGTCTGACAGATGGACATTTGTGTCTGACAGATGGACATGTCTGACAGATGGACATGTGTGTCTGACAGATGGACATGTCTGAGAGATGGACATGTCTGACAGATGGACATGTCTGACAGATGGACATCTGTGACAGATGGACATGTGTGTCTGACAGATGGACATGTGTGTCTGACAGATGGACATGTGTGACAGATGGACATGTGTGTCTGACAGATGGACATGTGTGTCTGACAGATGGACATGTCTGACAGATGGACATTTGTGTCTGACAGATGGACATGTCTGAAAGATGGACATGTGTGTCTGACAGATGGACATGTGTGTCTGACAGATGGACATGTGTGTCTGACAGATGGACATGTCTGACAGATGGACATTTGTGTCTGACAGATGGACATGTCTGACAGATGGACATGTGTGTCTGACAGATGGACATGTCTGAGAGATGGACATGTCTGACAGATGGACATGTCTGACAGATGGACATGTGTGACAGATGGACATGTGTGTCTGACAGATGGACATGTGTGTCTGACAGATGGACATGTCTGACAGATGGACATGTGTGTCTGACAGATGGACATGTCTGACAGATGGACATGTCTGTCTGACAGATGGACATGTGTGTCTGACAGATGGACATGTCTGACAGATGGACATGTCTGACAGATGGACATGTCTGACAGATGGACATGTGTGTCTGACAGATGGACATGTGTGTCTGACAGATGGACATGTGTGTCTGACAGATGGACATGTCTAACAGATGGACATGTCTGACAGATGGACATGTGTGTCTGACAGATGGACATGTGTGTCTGACAGATGGACATGTGTGTCTGACAGATGGACATGTGTTTCTGACAGATGGACATGTCTGACAGATGGACATGTGTGTCTGACAGATGGACATGTGTGTCTGACAGATGGACATGTGTGTCTGACAGATGGACATGTCTGACAGATGGACATGTCTGACAGATGGACATGTGTGTCTGACAGATGGACATGTGTGTTTGACAGACATGTCTGACAGATGGACATGTGTGTCTGACAGATGGACATGTGTGTCTGACAGACATGTCTGACATATGGACATGTGTGTCTGACAGATGGACATGTGTGTCTGACAGATGGACATGTGTGTCTGACAGATGGACATGTGTGTCTGACAGATGGACATGTCTGACAGATGGACATTTGTGTCTGACAGATGGACATGTCTGACAGATGGACATGTGTGTCTGACAGATGGACATGTGTGTCTGACAGATGGACATGTGTGTCTGACAGATGGAAATGTCTGACAGATGGACATTTGTGTCTGACAGATGGACATGTCTGACAGATGGACATGTGTGTCTGACAGATGGACATGTCTGAGAGATGGACATGTCTGACAGATGGACATGTCTGACAGATGGACATGTGTGACAGATGGACATGTGTGTCTGACAGATGGACATGTGTGTCTGACAGATGGACATGTCTGACAGATGGACATGTGTGTCTGACAGATGGACATGTCTGAGAGATGGACATGTCTGTCTGACAGATGGACATGTGTGTCTGACAGATGGACATGTGTGTCTGACAGATGGACATGTGTGTCTGACAGATGGACATGTCTGACAGATGGACATGTCTGACAGATGGACATGTGTGTCTGACAGATGGACATGTGTGTCTGACAGATGGACA